GAAAAGTCTGGAGACATGGAGATGGTTCAACATCTGCAGGACGAGGAGACGTCATGAGCTCAGAGAGCCAACTGGCAGTGAGTATTTGACATGCCTACATTCATCTGCTTGTTGTGTTCTAGAAGAGAACGCAGGTATTGAACTCTTTTATTTAACATCAGAGTCAATTAGTTGATGAGTCGATACAGAAAAATCCTTGACGTCCTTTTACAATAAAATGCAGAGCATCCGATGGAGCTGCTGATCTTCTAACTCATTGGAGCCTGAAGGTCTTGGTGAGCAGTGAGCATTTCTACGGCTCTTTAAAGCAAACAGTGAAAGGATTCATTCATAATGCTGGTTATTTTCAGGCCTCTTAAAAATGAAAAGATAAAAGCAGTCAGCTCATAATTCCTTGTGAACATGAAGTGAAGAAAACAGTCACCAGAATAATAAAAGCTACGGGTGAATCCAGATGAATGTTGAAGGCGCAGAGTGAAGAAACAGTGAAATAAAGGAACAAGGAGTCAGAGGAGGTGAGAGCCTGAGGGAAGGTCGACTCCTCCGTCCTCTAACCCCCGTCATCCCTCCATCATCCGGCTGCCGCCGCCGGCTGCAGCTCCGACACTCCGTCACTCTGTGATAAAACATTCGGTCATTTCACCTGCAGCCACTGGCAGCGCCTCTTTCATTTCTGAATATTAAACCGAAGAAGACAAATGTCCTCCACAGAGGAAGCGATTATTAATTCATCTTTGTTGTGTTTACAGCAGACAGACCTGTCGCTGTCCGTCTGTCTCTCATCCCATATTAAAGACAGACGGACATCTGGCTTCCTTTCTTCTGGCTTCGCTCTCGTCTGGATTCGTCCACTTCACAAACTTCAACAGATCCAGGATTTCATTCTAACTCAGCAGCCACACGAAGCTGCTTAACAACCGGCTAATTCAACCAGAGTTCTCAACTTGGTCCGAGCTCTACAAATAAAAGAGGCGGAGCTAGCCCCAGTTGACCAATCACAGACAAGGACAGGCCAATCGATATCCATGCCCTGCCATCGAGTCCTCAAACAAACCTCAAGTTCTGTCAGTCGTTCAACATGTGACACAAAGTGGAGATAAAAAGACATAAAACAAATAAAATGTGACATGAAACAAGCTAAAACAGAAACACGTAAAACCACAGAAGCTTCCTCGCTAACCGGAGAACCCTCAACTCTTCCTGTTCAGTTTCGTCTTCTTCTCAACATCTCGTCTTTTCTGTCGCGTCTCTGATCCGTCGGAAATGTTCTGTTTCACTTTCTTTGTCTCAAACAATCCCGTTTTCTTTAATCTCTGCCTTTTATGAAGCACGTCCCACTGCTGCTGCGCTGTTGTTGTGTTGTGTTGTTGTGTTGTTGCTGTGTTGTATACTCACTCCGTCCGTTCACGGTGTGTGTGTCCACCATGGTTGTGTGTTGGGAGTTGTTGACCATCAGTGTCATTTCCTGTCTGGAGCTCAGAGTTTCCTTCCTCTTCTTGGCCAGTTTCCTGCAGAAACAAAAACAGTTGCACTGTTCACAAACCAACACAACCGGCTGATACATGACCTTCTTCACAAATAAAGTTTTAAATATTAGACAACAAATCCAGACCATGTCTTTAGGTGCAGC